TGGAAATGCAGAAACTATGTACAATAGTCAAAGCCTTTTTAAAAAATTTTTTTACAATACTGATACTATTAAACTTCAAGACTTGTAAATCTACAGTAATCAAAACAGTGTAATACTGATAAAGGAAGCAGAGATCAATGGAATAGAGAATCCAAAAACAGACCCATACATTTATGATCAATTAATTTTCAGCAAAAGTGCCAACACAAATCCATAGGGAAAACAAAGTCTGAAAAAATGGTGCTAGAACTACTGGAAATCTAAATAGATGGGAAAAAAAAAAAGAACATCAACCCTTCCCTCATACAACCCACAAAAATAATGTGAGATTGACCAAAGAAATGAATATAAAACTATAAAGCTCAAGAAGAAAACAAAGGCAAAAATCTTTGGGGTAGACAAAGATTTTTTTTAGGCAAGAATCCTACTCATTCAACATATGACCATGTAAAAACCATGTTCAAAAATCTTCGAAGCAGGGGCACCTGAGTGGCTCAGTCGGTTAAGTACCCAACTCTTGATTTCGGCTCAGGTCATGATCTCAGAATTGAGAGATCAAGTGCCACATCAGGCTCTGTACTGAGCAGGGAGTCTGCTTGAGATTCTCTCTCTCTTCCTCTGCCCCTCCCCACTGCTCTCTCTCATGCACGTGCTAATAAATAAATCTTAAAAAAAAAAAAAAATCCTCAAAGCAGCTCTATGCACAATAACCAAAATCTAAAAAAAAAAAAAAAGGTCAGGTGAATGGGTCAATAAAATGTAGTATATCAATAATATAATAGAAAAGTACTCAGCAATCGAAAGGAACTATTGGAACAATATGATGAACCTCACAATCATTATGGTGAATGAAAAAAGGTGGACACAAAGAGTACATAATGTATGATTCCACTTGAAATTCTAGAAAAAGCAAACTATAGTTGATCCTTGAACAAAGCAGGGGTTGGAGTGCCGAACCCCAGTGCAGTCAAGAATCTGCATTAACTTTTGACTCCCCAAAAATGTGACTACTAATATGGCCTACTGTTGACCAGAAGCCTTATCAATAACATAAACAGTCAATTAATATATATTTTGTGATATATACATTTTATACTGTATTCTTATGATAAAGCTAGAGAAAAGAAAATGTTAAGAAAATCATAAGGAAAAGAAAATAAATTTACAGTACTATACTGTATTTATCGATACCGTAAGTTGACATCATTGTTTCATAAGATGCATCATCAGTCAGGACCTACATCAATATTGTCCTAAATAATACAAAACACTATAAATTTAAATGCTATTACTAACACTAGACATCAAAAATGAAAACATGTGAAAAAGAAATTCATATTTACTTACAGATATAACAATTCATGCACTGATAATGAAGGAGCAGTATGACTGCTTTACAGTACCCAGTGTAAGAGATCAGTTGCTTCACACTGGACTACCATATACACTAATGAATGAATCGTTATACAATTTTTATGTCATGACGTATTACACTCATATTCATTAACACAACACTGCAAACACATTTTTTCTAAAAACCACTTACCTGTGATGATAGGCTGATATACAGTTTCTCCAATTACAAGACAGAGCATATTGTAACGTAATTCTTTGAAAGTTCTAAAACAGTAAGAAAACTAACACATTATTAATTTTGTATTAAATATCACTCACCTTATGCCTACGTAAGGATAGGCTATCCACTGCCATACAAGTCTTGTACATGATTTTCTACACGATGAAAACTTAAGCAATGGTGATGATGATGTTGACAGAACACCGTCTCAGGCAGTTCTTGCCATTCAGTTATTAGATTTTCACACGAAGACACTCACACACACAACAGATAAGTTTATTAACTGTATGGCATGATGATTATTTACTATTCATTAAATGGAAGTGGATCATCATAAATGTCTTCATCCCTGTTGTTTTCACTCTTCATACTGAGTAGGCTGAGGAGGAGGAAGAGAGGAAGATGGTCTTGGTGTCTCAGGGATAGCAGAAGAGGTGAAGGCGAAAAGGGAGGCAGGAGAGGCAAGCCAATTTGGTGTACTTTACAGAAATACATTGTAATTTCTGTTCTGACATTTTTGCTTTTTCATCTCTTTAAAAATGTTTCTACACAGTACCAATCCTTCCTCTAGCATTTGCTTTAGTTTCAGTGCCCGTATAATAGAAGGGTCCATGTCCTAGAAGAAGTCAAAAGCAGTCTTGAATAATTAGAATCCTTCTGCCAGACAGTCTAATGTCAATCTGTTTTCTGGCACTGCTTCATCCACATCTTCTTCTTCATCGTCTGGCATTGGTTCAGATGTGTTTATCCACATCAAGTCATCTTCTATTAATTCCTTTTGTGTGGCATCTATCAGCTCTTGAGTTTCTCCAAGATCTGTACCTTAAAACCCTTCACACCCCCCACCTTTTTTGCCATATCCACAATCTCTTTCATAATTTCCTTGATTGGTCTGTTGTAAATTGTGAAGTCATACACAACTTCTAGACACATTTTTCTCCTGCAGGAATTTACTGTTTTGGGCTTGATGGTTTTCATGGCTTGTTCTATAAACAATGATGGCATCCTTGATGATGCAATCCTTCCAGGCTTTCATGATGTTCTATCAGGGTTCTTTTCCATAGTGTTGAAAATCCTTTCTAGAGAGTACCATGTGTGGATGAGCCTTAAAGGTCCTTAAGACCTCCTGATCTAGAGGCTAAATTAGAGATTTTGTGTTTAGGGGCAAGTAGACCACTTTGATGCCTTTGGTGTTGAACTCATCAGGTTCTGGATGCCCAGGGATATTGTCTAAGATCAAAAGAACTTTAAAAGGCAGTGCCTTACTGGCAAGGTACTTCCTGACTTAAGGGACAAAGTATTGATGGAACCAATCCCAAAAAAAGATTCTCGTTGTTCAGTCCTTTTTGTTGTACAACCAAAAGTCTGGGGTGCCTGCTGGCTCAGTCAGTAGAGTATGTGACTGATCTCAGGGTCATGAGTTTGAGCCCCACCTTGGATGTAGAGATTTAAAAAAAATAGTCGGGCAGCTGGTGTTTATCTTTTCCCTTCAAGGTTTGGAGATTAGCAGCTTTATACATAAGGACAGTCCTGGTCATAAACCCAATTGCATTTGCACAAAAGAGAAGAATTAGCCTATCCCTTCCTACCTTAAATCCTAAGGCTCATTTCTCTTCCATATTAATAAATGTCCTTTATTGTATGTTTTTTTTCCAGAATAGGGCACTTTTTGTCTGCATTAAAAAAACCTGTTCAGGCAGATATTCTTTCTCCTCAATGATTTTCTTAATGCCATCCGGGAACTCATCTGCTGCCTCTTGGTCAGCAGAAGCTGTTTCTCCTGTTTTCTTGACATTTTAAAAATCAAACCTTTTTCTAAAATTATCAAACCATTCTTTGCTGGCACTAAATTCTCCAGCTTTACCCTTCACCTTCCTTTTGCTTTAAGTTGTCCTATAATGACTTCGCCTTTCCTCAAATCATATTAGAGTCTATAGGTATGCCTTTCCTATAGCAACCCTGCACCCACATAAAAGCTGCATTTTCAATACAAGATAAAAAGGTATTTCAAAAAGTACAAGGTTTTGACGCCTTCTGGCATAACTGCAGCAATAGCTTCAAGAATTTCCTTTCCTTTTCCTATGATGGTCCTTACGCTGGATTCATTTATCTTGAACTGGCAGGCAACTGTAGCTGCAGGCCTCAATCTATGGTACTTAACAAACAATTCAACTTTTTCTTGTAATGTCATGACTTTCCCCTGCTTCTTGGGAGCACTTCCAGCATTACTAGTGGCACTTGAAACGGGTCCCATGGTGTTATTCAAGGTTTACAGTACTGCAAATACGCAAAAACTGCAGAGATCACTTTTTACTGTGATACGCAATTTACTGCAGAGACAAATTGCTCACACAGAGATGATTAGATCACACCACCGTGTTTTAAGCAGACTCAAACACCTAAGCTCACCACAATAGCAACATGAGATGGCTACAAAATTATTATAGTAGTACAGTATGTACTACAGTTAAGTTTATGCAGTTATGATTTAATACTGCATCTTTGTTTAGATTTTTTACTGTAAATGATGCAATGTATGGTCTGTGTCTGCACACATTTTAATAAATTTTAACTTTTTATAATAGATCTGTGAATATTTTATGGTAGTAAGTAATAAACTACATATATTTTATGCATTCATGAAACACCTAACTTTTTAGTTTTTTCAGTATTTCTAAGCTACATGGTTTCTCCACAAGTTTTTTTCAAATTGCCACAAATCTCAAAAAAATTTTTTCAATGTATTTATTGAAAAAAATCCGCATAAGTGGACCCACACAATTCAACCCATGTTGTTCAAGGGTCAACTGTAATCTACAGTAAGACAGCAGATGAGTCCTTCCCTAAGGTCAGAGAGGAGGGAGAGACAGACTTGGAAGCGATGGAGATGTTCTGTGTCTTGACTGTAGTGGTGGTTTCAAGAGTGTGTGTATCTGTCAAAATCCACCAAATTGTACAGTTTAAGAGAGTGAAGTTTACTGTACATAAATTATACTTCAATAAAGCTGTCAAAAAATATAGTGCTGTAAGTAACTGAAATGGACCTACACCTGCAACCAAGAAGCACTGTTAAACCAAAAAACAGCAAGGTGCAGAAGAGGGTAAAAACAGCAATTTTTTAGGAAAAAAGTGGGAGAAAGGAAATGCACAGAAACATATGCTTGCTTATGCACACATTAGGTATAGAAAGATACATAATAAATATAATAGTGAAGATTTCTGGGAAAGAGAACTACAAAACCAAGTGTCAGGAGTGTGAAAAAGCTTACTTTTCACTATATACCCATTCAAATGTTTTATTATATAGACATATAACCTAATCAAAATTAAAATATAAGTTATATTTCTCTGAAAATAAAAAGTTATATTTGGCACACTAATTCATCTTGGAAGGCACTATATTATAAAAGTATAAGCCACTTACCTTCCCGAGACAAAAATCACATATCACTGTTTCTTTAAGTTGACTGATGATGCTTCCAATGAATGATGCTCCTAATAACTTCCTGTGTTTGGGAATTAATCTTAAAAAAAAAAAAAAGAATTCTGTAACTAAAGTAAAACAATCTGTTAAAACACATAAGAATATAAAATTACTATTGTCTACTAACTCATATTAAAACAGCTTAAGACTAAGCTAGACTAAGTAAACAACTGCCTAATAACAATGTATTGCATCACATATCTCATTTTTACACCATATAATAGATTAGGTTTTTCTTCAAATACAATCACCACCTCCAAACCTCCGCTGCATGGAAGGAGTATATTTTCCTTCCCAACTGGTGCTGAACTTGACCACATGCCTTCCTTTGGCCTCATGGTGGGCAGAGTATACTTCCCTGCCCCCATAACCTTAGCCATCTAACTTGGTTTGGCCAATGGTGTATTAGGAGAAACGATGCAGAGGTTTGAAATGTCTTTATGCAGCTGGGCTTGCCCTCTTGCACCTCTGCCATCACCGTAAGAGCTTCACCAGGTAGATGAAGGCAGCTCTTCAGCCTAGACCCCAGAATAAACATAAAGAGTAGAACTGAGCCAAACCCCAAATGAGGTGACAAGCCGAACCCACAGTGAGAAATAAAGCCCACCCACACCCACAGCTGCCCACCAAGCCTAACCTAAATCACCTAACCCACAGCTGCTCTGCAGATGTGTGATCAATTAACTGCTGTTTTAAGGCACTGAGCTCTAGGGCAGTTTCTTATATAGCAATAACTAATACATACTGTGATTAATTTTTACTTTCTGAGAAGCTCTAAACTTACCCAAGATTAAGCCCCAGAAAAAGAACAAAAAAAGAAAGAAAACTCATTTATATTCCTTTATTACTTTAGCACTAAAAATTATAATTTTTAAAATGATGAATATTCTTCTTTTACAGCTATTCCTCCCAATTTCTAAGTATTTTAGTACATTTGGGACCTACCTTATAAAAGAGATAAACTGATACACAACTCTACAGTATTTGTCAATACTGTTCAAGGTGTGCTAAGGACCACTTCAATTCTAGTTTGCCCCCTCACGCAACCATCACTAATCTAGCATTACACAACTTAATAAACCCCCTTTCTTCATAACCCTTAAATAATATCTTGCAAATGCACCCTCTCATCTGTTAACAAATTGACAAGGCCCCTCCTACACAACCCAGAGCTAGATTAATATAATCCTAATGAAACAATATCAGGGTCAAAAAAACACAATAATTAAGCTTTACATAAAATGACCACTTCAGAAAACCTAAAATAACATTTATATTTGGGCACCTGGATGGCTCAGTCAGTTAAGCATCTGCCTTCAGTTCAGGTCATGATCCCGGAGTCCTGGGATGATTCCTGCGTCAGGCTCCCTGCTCAGTGGGGAGCCTGCTTCTCCCTCTCCTTCTGCCCCTCCCCATGCTTGTACTCTCACTCTCTCTCTCTCTCTCTCTCTCTCTGACAAATAAATATAGAAAAAAATAACATTTATATTTTACTACAAAAGAAATCTTACAAGGCACACTAGAAAATACTGAGAATTTAACAATAATCCAATTTCCCACAGTGCTTTATAATAAAATGTACTCAAATTTTAATCATTAAAATATCTGGATTATAAAAAAAAATTTAAGATTTTATTTATTTATTTGAGAGAGACAGCACATAAGCGGGGGCGGGGGGGGTGTAGACAGAGGGAGAGGGAGAAGCTGACTTCCCCACTGAGCAGGAAGCCAGACATGGGGCTTGATCCCAGGACCCTAAGATCATGACCTGAGCCAAAGGCAGATGTTTAACTGACTGAGCCATCCAGGCACCCCATGATTATAAAAAAAATTTTTAAACAGAAAGGAAAAAAAAAAGAAAAAATTTGGATTGCATTATCACCCAATATATTTTAATATTAGTCATTTTTTAAAAAAAACATTTCATGATTAGGGCACCTGGGTGGCTCAGTTGAAGGTCCAACTCTTGATTTTGGCTCAGGTCATAATCTCAGGGTTATGGGATCGAGCCCCATATCGGGCTCCACGCTCAGCAGGGAAGTCTGCTTGAAATTCTTTGCCCCTCCCCTCTCTGAAATAAATTTTTAAAATATCCAAAAAAACATTTTATGATTGAGATATAATCCCTTACCATAAAATTCACCTCTTTATAGTATACAATTTAGTGGGTTTTAGTACCTTCAGAGTTGTGTAACAATTGCCAGTATCTAATTCCAGAATATTTTCATGACCTCAAAAAAATCCCCCAAAAAACATGCTCATTAAAAGTCATTCCCCAGGGGCGCCTGGGTGGCTCAGTCGTTAAGCATCTGCCTTCAGCTCAGGTCATGATCCCAGGGTTCTGGGATCGAGCCCCGCGTCAGGTTCCCTGCTCTGCGGGAAGCCTGCTTCTCCCTCTCCCACTCCCCCTGCTTATGTTCCTGTTCTTGCTATCTCTCTCTCTGTCAAATAAATAAA